TCCGTGCGGGAAGAGAGGAAGCGATTTAGACAAGACAGGAGCGCTTTGCAGCCAAAAGTTTACACAAGAATTCAGTCTTAAAATACATTTATTTCTTCGAGACGTTTACAAAGTTAATGTGGTCTACTTCTTAGAGCATAATGTGTTTGATTTTATTTAAATTACGCAGAACAATTTAAATGTTTTTTGTAACAAGAGTCGTTTGGTTTAATTGTTCATTCGCCATGGTTTCTTTAACAAAAGTTCGGACCGTTGGCTCGTCTTCGTGCAGATTCACCCACTTCATACGACCCGATTGGTTCATTATTTTGACAGGCCAATAATTCTCTCCGCCGATGTAGACACCCGGATGGCTAGGATTAAAAATATTTCGCGATGACTAATACGTTTCTGTAATAACATATCCTTCTGGAATGTTACGGACCACCTGTGCTTCTTTGGTGTAGCTTTGCCATTCGGAGATAGTTGCATCCGACCAGGTAATATGTCTCTGATGTTTAGGTTGTTTCCTTCTAGGTTTGGTTTCGACCGGTGTCGGCTCGATACTACTACTGTTCACTTTAGTTTGGGTGGCGAAGAGATAAACACGGCAGTCGCCAAACAGGTCCCCAAGAACTTGCTTACCTGCTGGTGTATCAGGCTTGGTATCCACCAACAAGTATCCAAACGGTTTTTCAGTCCCTTTGTAATAGACGTTCATAAAGTGGACTCTATTCCTATCAAACATTCGTTCTCCAACAATTCTAATTTGTTTCTTATCACTAGGACTTCGGAAGAGAGCAAGATATTGGGCATTTCGGCTAATATCTGTATTGAATTTCCCCTTAGGAAACATATTCTGAAGCAAAAGGATAACACTAGCGTTTCTATGACGTCCCTGGGTAAATAATCGAGCTACCGCAGGACTGTCTGTTGCTTCGGCCATCAAATCATCCAGTATGATTACGTTGTTGTAACGGGTATTAATCTCACTCAGATCCTCAGACAACTCGGGCAAACCTCTTTGAAACATCCACATGTCGCCGTAAAAAATATATATATAAATGTTTTCAAACCATTTATTCTCGGTCATTTATGATTGAACTTTCAAAGTGTCAACATGCCCTATAAGCACAAAAGAGACTGTCCTCTCTGTAACAAGCCTTGTCTTCTATATATAAGTGATCATTTGCGCCAAGTACATAACTTATACGGAGATCAAAGGAAAAAGTGGTTAGGAAGGGCGAGGTTCTCAGCACCGCATAGCCACAACTCAAATTTGCTGCCCATACGACCGGCACATATACTAAAAGAAATGAAATGTGTTCGAAAGAAAACAAGGTCTGTACTAAAACTAACAAAAACCGTACCGAAAGTTACATCATCTTTGACCACCAAACCCTATCCAGAATTCAACTTCCGCCATAAATTTTCGCTAATGGTCGTGGGTCCGAGCCAAAGTGGGAAAACTTATTTTGTCCAACAAATATTGGAAAACAATCGTATCGTGTACGAGGAGCAGAGAAGTATTCGCATTCATTGGTGCTACAATCAATGGCAAGATCGTTACGATGAGTTAAAAAAGTCCCTTGGGAAAAGTATCCGATTTCAAAGAGGTTTGCCCGAGTTGTCCAAGGATCTGAGTGAGATTAATACCCGTTACAACAACGTAATCATACTGGATGATTTGATGGCCGAAGCGACAGACAGTCCTGCGGTAGCTCGATTATTTACCCAGGGACGTCATAGAAACGCTAGTGTTATCCTTTTGCTTCGGAACATGTTTCCTAAGGGGAAATTCAATACAGATATTAGCCGAAATGCCCAATATCTTGCTCTCTTCCGAAGTCCTAGTGATAGGAAACAAATTGGAATTGTTGGAGAACGAATGTTTGATAAGAATAGAGCATTTTATGAACGTCTATTACAAAGAGACTGAAAAACCGTTTGGATACTTGTTGGTGGATAACAAGCCTGATACACCAGCAGATAAGCAAGTTCTTGGGGACCTGTTTGGCGACCGCCGTGTTTATCCCTACGCCACCCAAACTAAAGTGAACAGTACTAGTATCGAGCCCACACCGGTCGAAACCAAACCTAGAAGGAAACAACCTAAACATCAGAGGCATATCACCTGGTCGGATGCAACTATCTCCGAATGGCAAAACTACATCAAGGAAGCACAGGTGGTCCGTAACATTCCCGAAGGATATGTTATCACAGAGATGTATAAGTCATCGCGCAATATTTTTAATCCTAGCCATCCGGGTGTCTACATCGGCGGAGAAAATTATTGGCCTGTCAAAATAATGAACCAATCGGGTCGTATGAAGTGGGTGAATCTGCACGAAGACGAGCCAACGGTCCGAACTTTTGTTAAAGAAACCATGGCGAATGAACAATTAAACCAAACGACTCTTATTACAAAACACATTATGCTCTAAGAAGTAGACCACATTAACTTTGTAAACGTCTCGAAGAAATAAATGTATTTTTAGACTGAATTCTTGTGTAAACGTTTGGCTGCAAAGCGCTCCTGTCTTGTCTAAATCGCTTTCTCTCTTCCCGCACGGATAACCCGCGACGCCCGCGCAATGAATATCCTAATCTACCCGTATTTATCCACACAGTAGAAAATGCAAATCTCTGATAAAAGTTAATCCTTTAATTAGTTTCACCCTAACAACACATAGCAACCGGTGTGCTTTAATATAGCTTAAATTTATTAACCTTATCCGAGTTTTAGTACTTTAAAAAACTAGCAATAAAATATAGAAATCGCTTGACAATTATATATCATAACCTCTAATTTCCATGTGTTTATATAACCCTAGACAGCAACATATTCTCTCGTATATAGACCTCATGTGGCAGACCGGGATAAAAATATTATTTTAATTGTAGATACATGAAAAATCTTTCCGCATGCTATTTCTCAGCGTTTTGACGCTTGATAATATTTATATATTACTTAACAACAAAACATTTAGCTGTATACCTCGAATATATAAGTTTTAGATATATAACACTAATGCTATTTCATATAGTATCAGATTTTTTACTCCTCTAGGAGCTAAATTAAAGAAATCACTTGACAATAACAGCAAAATGCTATAGCTGTGCTTATAAAACTCCAAACAACAACATATTCTCTTGTATATAGCCCTAATTATTGTATCATACACGTGGGGAGAACGCTAAAAAATGCGTAGTCAGCAAGTTTTGTTCAATTTCGCCCGGACAGGCCCGTGTGACGTCACTACGCACCCTCATTTGTGCGGAACCCTTAATTACCTGCATATATAATGATGCGGCCCCCTTAATTACCTGCATATATAATGATGCGGCCCCCCTTGCATAGTAATTACAAGCATATTTAATGATGCGGCCCCCTGTGGCCCCCTGAAAATAAGGGTCGAACGGCCCCTATATTACTACTCACCTATAGCTCAGGACAGCATGTGAAAGATTTTAGCTTCATACATAAGTCAACTTATTAGTTTCAATGTTTCCTTTTGCGAAATTTTTCGCAGCTGTGTCATTTTTCATCCCAGTTAAATAAAATGCCTACAAACTCAGTGGCCAAACAAAATAAAATAATACCATGACTTATCAAATATCAATTTGCTTTTTCTCAGAGAGATTTAAGTTGCCGAGTTATGGATTTCAATTCTATGTTTGGAAGCAATGTTATGGAGGTGTTATGGAAGCAATTCTTTGTGTTTTTTTTTAGCATTCTATTAACGTCTTAATGTACTTTTCAATGTATTCTTTTAGTTTGTTTTTGAGTTGTTTGGATAGCAAAAAAACAACTGTGGTTTGGTGAAAGTGCTGTTTGGGCATTGTATTTGTCTTCTGGAGTGGATAATTTGTTTTTTTAATGTGTTCTGATCATTAACTTGGCAAAATGAAAAGTTTTTAACGGCAGGAGTTTAAATTATAACTATAACAAAAATGGACATTTTACGATCACATACCGACCTTTAAAAAAATAGGCACTCAAAGAGTGGGTAAGGATTTGCAATTTTGTTGTCAATTTTATAATGCAAAAAAGATTGAAAAATATCAGTTAATAATGTAGTATAACAAAACACAACATCATGCATGACAAATCTTTTCTTGGAATGTCAACTTTTGTTTAATTACGGTTATATTCAAAGTTAATCTACTACAACTTTTAAATGGCTTTATCACTGCCTCAAAGATAAAAGAAAATCCTTAAAAAGTAAATATTAACAAACTTATTTCTGATTTAAATGACGTTCCATGGAGTGTTCTTGATACTTTTGAAAATGGGTGAGTTTGGTTGCAGGTTGATCGACATGCTCTGCTGAAAACACTCGGGGTTTAAAAAAACCAACATGGCTTAATGATGAAATCTTTACCGCTATTGGTGAGCGTGACGAATTTAAGAAAAAAATACAAAAAGGCCAGATACAAAGGGATACCTTCAAGGCTGCCAGAAATAAAGTAGTCCGTCTTAGCACAAGTTACACCAATTCACAAACAAGGAATCAAAGCCAATCTCGACAATTACAGGCCTATATCAGTTCTTTCTGTTCTGTCGAAGATACTTGAGAAACATGTATGTAAACATCTTATGGCTTACTTCACAGAACATGGCTTACTACAGAAGTACCAATCAGGTTTTCGTACTAACCATTCTTGCAAAACTATTCTTCTCAAATTAACAGATGACTGGCTTGAAGCAATGGACAAAGGACTCTTTACAGGAGTTGTTATGATCAACCTGTGCAAAGTTTTTGATGTGGTGGATCATGCATTGCTACTAAGGAAGCTAGAAATATATGTCTAGATTTTAACACTCTGAAATGGTTTCAAAGTTATTTAGATGGAAGATCTCAAAATGTATGCATTGATGGAATGTTATCAAAGCCAATGTGCCTCAAAGAAGTATCATGGGCCCTGCTTTATTTTTAATATTTATTAACGCCTTACCTTTAACACTTGCAAATAACATTGGCCTTTATATGCAGACGACTCCACTCTCTATGCTTCAGGTTCCACCTTACCTGAAGTTGAGGAGAAACTTAAGCCTGATCTTATCAGCATCTCAACATGGGTTAACGATAATAAAATGAAACTGCATCAATCGAAAACAAAGTATAGCATTATTTCTAGTTGTCAGAAATTAGCTAACTCCTCGAGTCAAAGCCTTGATCTAACTTTTGATGGGGAACCAATAACCCAGGTGAAATCTGAGCGTGTTTTGGGAGTGTATATTCATAACCATCTCACTTGGTCTACCCATATTGAAAAATTACATTAGAAATTACTTGAAAGAACAGCTGTCTTGGCAAAAGTGAGAAAATATGTTCCAACACACTACTGTCTAATGTTATATAATGCAAGCATCAAGCCATTGTTTGAATACTGCTGTTCTGTTTGGAGTAATTGTAGTCAATGTAACATCGATGATCTTTTTAAATTGCAAAAACGTTGTGCAAGACTGATTTTGGATAAGCTATTCAACATCAAGATCTTATCGACCAGGTGTTTGTTATAAAAAACTTTGTCTCTTGTGAAAAATTGTCAATGGTCAAGCTCCAGAATATCTAACAACGAAATTAGCAACTTTCCGATTCCAACATCACTATAGTTTGAGAACAAAAATTGAGTATTGTCTTCCAAAGCCTAAAACCAATGCACTGAAAAGAACATTTTTCTATTCAACATTAAAACATTGGAATACATTGGGTGAATAGAAGAATAATACATTTAAAGTAATGAAATCGAAGTTGCACCATATCCTCTTTTCCAAATACACAGTTGACAATTTCAAAATTCAGAGATTATATTAACTCGTATAAAAACTTTTTGTTTTGTTAATAGTGTATTTATTAACTTTTTATTTTTATTTACTGGTACATTTCTTTACAATAACATATTTCTGTATTTATTTTGAGGGCCACTAGGGAGAATACGTTTTTGTAATTGGTGTTACCCTAATTAAATAAAGTTTATTGTATTGTATTGTATTGTATTGTATAAAACTTGCTGTTCTAAATCCTAAATATCAAATTTTGCCCCATCACTCCATCAGTCATTCAGCAGGTAAGTACAATGAAGTTTTTATATAACAAACATCCATGCTAAATTGTTTTTTTATGTTTATGATGTTATTGCGGTGGTAACAGACTGATAAAAGGTTCAGTAGTCAGTAGTAATACCAAACGGAAAGCTTGATTGCACTGTAAATGCCAAAAGCCACCACCACTAGCACTGGTTTCCATAACTTGCAGGGGCATAGCAAAGGGGGGTCTAGAGGGGGGCTGAACCCACCCCCCCCCCCAACGTTATGTTTGTCGGCTGTAGTAGTCAGAGTGTATAAACATACACTTTATTAATATCAACAACAATATGAACAATACATGAACAATAAACGAAATAATATAGTTTTTCTTTTATGACATTATCCTAATGTAAACTAGCGGCCATTGAGTCCATGTACTCTGTCTCTACCTGTTCTCAGGTTGTCTTCCCTAAAATCCTACTACATTCCATTCCTTTTTAAAAAAGAGAACATATGTTTGGTAATATAAACGTATTTAGCTAACAAGGAAGACACTTGTTCTTATAACAAAACAAAGTAATTGTAAATCTTCAAGTTGCTTTTGAGCGTTCTGTCCAATCTTATACTTACTGTCTACCTCAATAGAACATAACACTCTATTGGACTGTACATGTTCAGTAGCAGGTTCGTCTTCTACTTTGACTGGTCTCAGGGCTTTGTTCCACTTTGTCTTCTTCGATTTTCTATCCCAAAGTTGTATATCGTACACGTCTTCGTAGTAGCTGACGACTCTTCCCATACCATAGCGTCCTCCTAGATGGTCTAAATGGTATTTCACTGGTTGACTGGCATCCAACAGCTTGAGAGAGTTTTTTCCACTGGTTGCGTCAGGCATCTCAAACTGTATCGATGGTGTATGAATCAGCAACTGACAAATTCCACCAATGCTTTGAAGAATCTTTTTAAACTCGGGATTTTTTTTTGTGTAAAGGTATTTGCATGCTTCTCCGGTTGACGACTTAGTCTTCTTGTGATTTTAACCAAGCATGCAGTTCTTCTATCATGATTCTTATGTCGTCATCAGAAAAGTCTCCGAACTTTTTCGTGGACAATAAACGAACCATTTTCAAACTGCGGGTTGTGATGGGATTGTGAGATTTTGGGCGGGGTGTCCTGTTCTTCATTTGGATTGGTTTGTTCAGGGTTAGATTCGTTGACTGACCAGGGTTCAACTTTGATCAATTTGTCCACAAGACGGGGGGTCACTTGTAGACCATGTTCCTTTTTAACCAATAAACAAGGGGCACCCCAGGGAGATCCCTTACGAAAATTTCCTATAGGAATTCCTATAGGAAATCAAAATTCCTATGGGAATTCCTATAGGAATTGAAAATGGTCAAAAAATTCCTATAGGAATTCCTATAGGAATTGAAATTTCCTATAGGAATTCCTATAGGCATTGAAAATTCCTATAGGAATTCCTATAGGCATTGAAAATTCCTATAGGAATTCCTATAGGCATTGAAAATTCCTATAGGAATTCCTATAGGAATTAAAATTTCCTATAGGAATTGCTATAGGCATTGAAAATTCTATAGGAATTCCTAGAGGAAAAAATATTCCTATAGGAATTCCTATTGGCATTGAAAATTCCTATAGGAATTCCTATAGGAATTGAAAATGGTGAAAAAATTCCTATAGGAAAAAATATTCCTATAGGAATTCCTATATGAAAATTCCTATAGGATTTGAAAATGGTGAAAAAAAATCCTATAGGAAATAAAAATTCCTATAGGAATTCTTATAGGATTGGAAAATGGTGGGAAAAATTCATAGCCTATACATATATAGCATATACATTCATAGCCACTATGGCCTGATACATGCATGGGTATAAGAACTTTACTTATATAAAAAATTATACAGATAAATATAATTTACGAAATAACTCCTTCCTACAGGAATTTCTATTTCTTATAGGAATTTTTTCACTATTATCATATCCTATAAAAATTCTTATAGGAATTTTAATTTCTTATACAACTACACTATTCCTATATCGTATTTTACTCAAAGACATTTATTAATAAAGAATTTAATACTGGGACTATTTATTTTCTAAGATTAAATGAATAATTACCGCAATGTGCGCGACTGACAGACTGGTGTCTAGTTTTCTTGCCACGCGCGCAAAGCATCAAAGGATAGATCATCACACCTCCGATATTTTTTCAAGTCAGTGTTTGTCAATGGTTTATGTGCAAAATAGAACTATTTTTGATGGGATGCAACTGGATTTTCAATAGTAATACATCAGGGATGTTTGCATAATGTTCAGGTAAGAATAAGTTTATATTTTATTTATAATAAAGCGAATTATAAAGGAAATACCTCCAATCTTCATTTGTGAAATTCGAGCATGTGGTTCGATAAAATTTGAATTTGCCGCGATTATATAAACGGAATTAGAATGCTGATATAAATATATTT